GACTGGTTCTTTGGACCGGGTGCTCGGGTCCACATTTTGCCACCCCTACTGTGGACCTAACCCGTGACACGTGATAGTTTAAAAATCCGGATTGTTCCAAGCTATGAATCCAGTGTGACCTTCGTTGAATATTGATGACGATGGCCAATTTCACTGTGTATTCCCCCAGAGTGCTAGGTCGTCATTGAGGGCAGCAATCATTTCCAGACATTATGTGCTGAACCATGACATCATTTGCTGTTAATCCTTACTTTTCTCTTGATCATATATGTATCCTTGTTTCAGGAGGCGGTCGGGGCGGCGGTGGCGGCGGTGGCAGTCGTGGAGGCGGCGGAGGCGGCGGGTACCAGCGGGACGGACGGTCATCCTACTCTAGTCGGGTACGTAGCGACCAGTGCTGGACTCGAGGTCTCTGTCGGGCGCGAGTCGGCTGCGGACTTCTTTACTGTAGTAGTAATGTTGTTTACGGTAAGTTTTGTGTTTGGATCATCCGTTTGTCTAAATTTATATTGTCAGCCATTTTGCTTTGTGTACATACTGAGCCAGGAAAGCAACAAATCAGAGTCAGGATGGAATGGAATTCGCATAATTCGGTATCTTCCCTTTCCGCCCCTGCCTTCGGGTCTATCAGGACACCTCTGCCGCAGTGGCATATTTCTGACGTCAATCGTTCCCCTTCAGGACCATCGCTACAGCCCATATGGCGGCGGCGGCGGCGGTGGTGGCGGTGGCGGTGGCGGTGGCGGTGGCGGAAGGAACAGCTACGGTTCACCAGGAAGAGGAGGGTATGGCTCACAAGGCGGAGGGTATGGCTCAGGAGGCGGAGGATACGGCTCCCAGGGCGGCGGGTACAACTCCCAGTCTCGCTACAGTGGAGGCGGCGGCGGCGGAGGAGGAGGAGGGTACGGCTCACAGCAGCGCGGCGGGTATAGCACCGGCTCGGGTGGCTACAGGACCGACTCCGGCGGACAGGGCTACAACACCGGAGGAGGGTACCGTTCGGGCGGCGGCAGGGGAGGCGACTCCGCCGGACGGGGTCAGGGGTACGGCGGCGGCGGACGGTATGGTCAGAGCGGGGCTAACCGCGGATACCGTACCTAATCTGACGCTCCTGACCGGCCGCCGGGTCACCAGAGGCGTGTGTCGAGCGGTCGGTGGAAGCAGTCCGTACCTGTATGTCACGTGCCCAGAAAAGCGACCTTTAGTCGCCACAAAGGAATAGTTATTGAAATTTGGTCGATCGTCATAATGTTACTTTAGCTCGTGCTGAATAGACTGAAGCTCTGCTGTGGTGATGAAATGAAGTGACAGCAGTATGAACTCGACACGGGAGTTCTGTTTTGAGGAGCCGGTTTTATAGGAGTGGAGTGCTCTTGTGCTCTTGTGCCCGAGGCTGCCGGGCGTTGCTACATTGTGTCACCTTCATGTTGATGCATCGTCCATTGCGCTGGTAATGAACAATGTCTCATTAATAAAACGCAGTTTACATGACCCTTTCCACGCGTAAACGACAAAACAAGTTCCGAATATTTTACGTGAATTCTATTGGCGCGTTGAAGGGTCACATGAACTGTTTTTGTTGCTGTCATCTTGTTCGACCGTACCCAAATACACATCACATTAACGTTCCACCAGCTCAGTGTTTTACTGCCCGGGCGTTTCCCCTCTCCTCTCTTTCCTGAGTCTCTCTGGGACCGGGGACGGCCTCTGGGCTGCAGCGGCAGCGCCCTGCCGACATCTGCTCCCTACACCTCGGCGGCGGCGATGTTATCTGTCCGCGGCGCAGCGGCCGCCCCGGCCACCGGGACGCCGCCGACTCATTATTCAACGCCAAATTAGAGCTATTAGAGGCAAACAAAGCGTGGCCGGGGGTCGGCCGTCCCGTTTGATGAGCTCAGTGAACGCTCGGCTCGGATCCGGGTGGCTGGGGGGGGGGAGGGGGGAGGCTGATCAGGATCGGGGTGAGAATCGCTCCACCGATCGTCAGTCAGGCTGGTAGAGCACGCTGGAACGATTTAGACTTGGTGGAGCCGACTGGTTTCGTGGCGCGAGCGAGCACTTCATATGCTGGTGTTGTGTTTGTGTGTGGGGAACTCTGAATCTGACGTCTGGGAACGAAGAGCATTGCAGGCCATTTGGAGGAGATCTGTGATTTTTAACCTTTGCCTGTTTCGCCCCTTCCTTGAGTAAAGTGCTCAATCAATAAGATTCAATCAGTGTGATCTGTCAGCGTCACTGCTGACAATATTTGCATGCCTATAAAAACAATTATTGTTCTAATTCTGACACTGTTTGACAAGTGCACCAATGATATATCGCTCGGTGATTTTGTCGTCCTGTCGTGCCTCCTGTCCTCCCTCTGTCTAACTTAACCTCCCGCCCTCCTGTTTGACATCGTCCTCTGGTCGGACCTGTCTATCCATCCGTTCTCCTGCCTTTCTACCCGTCCATCAGCAGTCTGACTGACCAGATATCTCGGCCGCGGTACCAATTCATCGGCCCGACGGGAGGCCACTCCGCCTCTCCCCCCCCCCCCCGTCCCGTCCACTCTTGTGAGAGCACACGAACACTCAGTCCCATCTTCAAACACTGAACAGAAGCTATCTCGGTCCACAACAAGAGCCCACAGAAAGGGGTAGGTATGGCAAAGCGGCCGCGCCGTTCACAGCTAATGGAGCGATATTCTCGCATTAGAAGGAATTTGGAAAGAGGGCGGATAACCGGCTATTCTCATCCAATTGCGCATTGGCCGAAGGAGCTGTTACGGCGGACCGTTTACAAAACATCAGCGTAATGATGAATGATTGTGGTTTGTATTCTGTCGATAGGTCGCCAATCGAGTATGTTTTGTTGTCGCCTGATGGTTTTACCGTACAAAGAGTCGGAGGATAAATTTGTCATCGTCAAGCACTGTCAACTGTCAAGAGGACTTGACACAATAAGCAGTGTAGGAGCGCGCCTTTGGTCGGGCATGACTGATGGTGACAGCGGATTGTGTGATATAACTGAAACACTTTTGATCGATGACGAAATGAGTCAGCTCAATATGCTTCAACGTAGTCCAGAATCACACACGTCACTCTAGTGTTGAGTGTTCACGAACACAGGTACACTCAGGCGGCAGGTTGTCCTGCACGGATCCGACGTTGCTGCTTTGATAAAGCCGACCATTCAGACGGTCCATCAAGGCATAAGGACAGTAGGTGCCATGTGATATACCTCCCTCCCCGTGCCCCTCCGAAGGCGTCCCGGCCAGCCACTCGCTACACCCGCACGGCGCCGTCACCCCCGCTGTGACCCGGTTCACCTCCCCGTGTGCCCAGTGTCCACCCGTGTGGGTTCAGATGACACCGAGCGCCGCCCCACTCTCAAACAGGCTCGGCTCGGACGCTGGTCAAACATCTCAGCCCCGAGCAGCTCTGCTGGACGGCGGACGGAGACGCGTGGCTCACCGGGGCACGTGGACTGACGGGGCGAGTTTAAACGGAGGTGTGGCACGTGGCCTGCTCGGAAATCATCATGGGTTTGCAGTTGGTTTGCGGTAAGCAAGTACGAGTAGAGAGTAGAGACAATGGTTTACGCTAGTTAAAGGTGGAAAGCTTTATCCGCCTACCTTACCTACGGAAAAAGACATTTAATGTCATGTTTTGCACTTCCTTTCAACCGTTTGTGGGTTGCCTGTGATGCTCATTTCACCAAATGTTTTAATCGGGGCTCTTTTCGCGGAAACGTAAATAAGAGGTAGCAGATGGGTAGGCATGTATGTACATACGTGAATCGTGATCATGTATGGGCTTTATCCTCAGTTCTTCCGAACTTCGGGGCCTGCATCCTGCCTTGGCGTATTCGTTTAGCACTACTCCTCCATGCACTTCGACAATCAACTCCTCTTCCATTCTAGCTTGATAGGATGCGCTCTATCTCGGCCCATCCAACAGTAGCCAATAGCCATCCGTCCACTTCACGCCGTCCGATAAATGGTGATAGACCCTCGCCGCAGCGCTGCAGTCTCTGAGTGGCCGTCTGCCTGCAATGGTATACTGTCCCGCCGTACACGGAGACTGCAACGCGCCGTCGGCGGAAAGCTGACGGCGCGGCGGCCGGAGCGTCGCCAGTCATCCGATATTATTATCCGCGCGGCTCGCGCGCCGCCCGGTAATGGTGGGGTGAAATTGCAGATCACCGGCGGTCGTCCGTGCCGCCGCAGCTCGCGGTGCTGGTACTGAGCTGCAGCCCCAGATTGGCCGGTATTAGCGCGTCCGCCGGCCCGTCCGCCGGGTCCCGGCCGTCGCCGGCGGCTCTGCAGGTGTGCAGTTGGACTGTTTGTCGAGGCGGCGCCGGGCGCTGATTAGGTGTCGGTCGCCGCCACCGGCCACAATTGCTGCCTATCGGTGTCGGCTACCTGGGCCGGCCGGCGCTCTCTGCGCCTCTCAGGACGCGCCCGGCGCAGAGGCGGTCTCCTTCCGCTCATCAGCGGCGCCTAACGAGCGGCCGGGCCGAGCGAGCCGCCGAGCGCCGGGAACCGGGAACCGAGCGTCGAGCAGTGAACAGCAGCGCCGAACGGCGGCGGGCTGCCGGTGACGGCCCACGAGCGATGGGTTGGTGGACGGGTCGGGACAAGGGGCGCGGGGTTACAGCCCCGGCAATAGCGCCGCCAAGGGAGCAGAGTTATAGCGGCGGCTTGTGCTAAATGGGGTGGGTGGAATTAATGGGGGTGGCGAGCTGGAAGACGCGTAGTTAGAGCGGCTGTTTCGTCTCTGATTGAGATGTTTTAACTTTTATGTTGATTGAGATGTGAATAGTTGGTATTCACACATGTGATAAATTTGAAGAAAAAAGTACATAAATGTCTACGTTTTCTCTCGGCATTGTCATTTGACTGATAGCACCACGGGAGCAGAGTCTCCATGGCCTGATAAGGGTATTTTTGAGGCTATCAAACCATGCTATTTTGCTTCTCCGATTGCAAAGCATCAGCACATTCAATCAGACAAGCGTAATACAATTGTCCTCGTATATTTCTAGATCGCACACCTAATTCATGACACAGAACATGAGGATTGTGGATTGAGTGAAGAGAGCAAATCATAGACGACATAGCGGCGACCCAGACGAGCGAACGTAACACAGTGTAACTCAAACATCTCCCATTGACTAAGCTACCATCTGGCCGTGAATTCCACAATCGAGGTACGCACATCTCGCCGATTCGGAGCATCGCGGGCACTATTTAACGACCTGGCCCCTTCCGGGAGGGCCGGGCGGCGCTCAGTGTATCTGCGGCGGAGCTGAAAGTCGATCACGGCGGCACAAAGCGGCGCGGCAGAGCACAGGTTCATCGGCGCTTAAAGTCGGACATTCCAGCGATTGACAGCGCGGCGGGGGTCAGCCGCCCGCCGCCGGCCGCTTCTCACGGTCCCCAGTCGCCCACGAGGCGGTACAGACAATAAATAACACAACGGAAGCGTGTAGCCATAAATAACACGTGCACCGCGTAATTAGCCGACGCCGACATACCTTCACACTCAATCGACGACGTACAACGGTGTCGACGCAGCGCCGCCGGCGTCGGAGGCGACGCTCTCAGGGGCGGCTCGACGGCGGGCATTGACAGTCAATTTAGCGCGCGCCCCGGCCGCTCCGGGCACCTTTTGAGCGGCGGCGGGACACCTCGCACTGAGGCAGCTCCATGCAGATGTCGGGCCGATTGTCTTGCGTGGTCGAGCGGGGATGGGGGCGCAGGAGGGGCGCGAGCAGAGGGAGGGAGGGGACTCCGCGCGACCCCTTCACACTCAGGTCAGCAGCCGGGGACATCACATACTGCGCGCGCTTCGCCCTCCCACTAGTCCTCTCATCCGCAATAACAGAGAGGGTGTGCGCGTGAAAGCCACCACTGCTCGCGGAGTGGGCTGGCTCGGATCAGCCTGGTGAGTCGGGCTGTCTGCTGCCGCGGCCCGAGCAGCGCCGACCGGCCGGCCCGGCCGCCGCAGCCCCCAACGCAAACACTCGGTGGCACGGAGCGGGCCGGGCGCCACAATAGGTCGCCGGTGACGGCCGGACCGGCTGGTCGGTCCGTGTATTTGGCTAGCGTCGCGCCCGTGGCAGAACTGCGGCCGGTCGGAACAGGTGGGTGACCCGGCCGACAGCCGGTCGGGCGCAGCTGAGCGGCGACTGGACTGGACTGGACTGCTCGGCAGTCAGGGAGCCGCAGCTGACGGGGATTGGCTGCGGTGGACTGGTTACTGCTGACTGAGCTGTGACAATGAAAGCTCCAACAGTCAGCCAGGGTCTGTCGGCAGCCTTTAAATTACCTATAATTCACTGACCCGCTACCATGCCGTCAGTGGCGTATCGGCGGCGTCAGAAGCTCGCCCCATCCTCCCTCCGAGTCGGACGGCGGCGGACGGGTTACCAGCTGCGCCCCTGCAGCGGCAGGTACGAGGAGCACATCTGGCCGCCGTCGCCGCCGCCCTGACCCATACTCGACATGGTGGGCGTCATGCTCTGTCGGTACTGCTCCATCCCCGAGACCATCCCTCCGGGTGGAGACCCCATGGCGTAGTGCGGCTGCTGCTGAGGGGGCGGCTGTGGCGGCGGAACCAGGGAGCCCAGCCCGGCGTGCGAGGCGCCCGGGGACGGCGCGGCGCACGGCTCGCTGCCGAGGGTGACCGGAGGAGCGGCCGTGGTGGTGGTGACCGGCTCGACGCCCGCGCTGCTGCTGCTGCTGCCGCTGCCGCTGCTGCACGGTTTGCCGTCCTTCACCAGAACAGGCACAGCCACCCGGCGCGGCGAGCCGGCCTGCTCGCTCATCGCCTTCTCCTTGGCCTGCCGTTTGAACTTGTAGCGGTGGTTCTGGAACCAGATTTTCACCTGAAACGAGAGCGGCGCCCGCCTCAGACCAGTGGCCGCTGCCGCCGCGCGCCTCGGCTCGGCGTCAATACAGCAGGCCCAGCATTGTCGCCCCCGGTAGATTAGACGGGCGATTACGTTTTCCAGGCAAACAGAGCGCGCTGCGAGGGGGTTTTCGTCGGATTAGAGCCATTAGCGGCCAGTGAAGCGAGCCTGAGCCCTCTGTGTCCGACAGTTGTCTACCAAAAACGATATTATATGGAGCCGTATTTACCGAGCGGGCCCGTAAAATCGCGACGGAGGACGGCACGGGGCGGCGGAGGAGGCGCGGGCCGGCCGCACCGCCCCGGCCTTTGTCGCGGCCTGGGCTCGATTTAATGCGCGCTCTGTGGGAACCGGAGGTGGCATTCCGCGGAACAAACGGACAGCAATGCGCGCCCTGTGTTCTGACGGTGCGCCGATTGTGCCGCACTTCATAAGACGGTAGTGGAGCATGGTCAGAAGAGCGCAGTCTCAAGGATGGTCATATTTGAAGTGACAATGTGAGCCAGTGGTCGCAGTGACCTAGTAATTGGGATGAATTACGAGGAATGCCATTGGTATTCGCTCCTTGTCTTTGGAATGGCGCGGTTTAGTATGCACTGATCTGATCTAATGAATTTCAGGTGCGCTGCTTTTGAGTGAAAAATCGAGGATAAGAATGCAGAATATCTCAGGACAGTTTATGAATACGGACAAGTGGAAGAAAAAAAAAGAGACGAACGGTTTAGCCGTAGCCCGTAATACCCCCACTAATTCCAATATTCCACAATTGAATTCCTCAACGATTTGAACAGCTGACAATGCTAACTAAAAGACGCCCGGTATCACACTGACCTGGGTCGGGGTGAGGTGGATTAGGCTGGCCAGATGTTCCCGCTCCGGCGCGGACAGGTACTTCTGCTGCTTAAAACGCCGCTCCAGCTCGTACACCTGTGAAACCGCACACGACGAATGATAAAAAACACACATTTACTGAAACACAGAGCAAAACAATGATGACTTAGGTATAAAATAATAACGATGCGGTTAAATTTCGCAATTAGGCTGAAGGTTCTTGCCAACATACAACAGATGAAACTGAATTAAGGGAAACTTGAGACGAATGCTAACTTAAACGAATGCGTACAGGACACAGGTCCACCTGCTCGAATTATTCATCTCATGAACTCATATTTCAATAACCACATCATATCAAAGGCCATTGATAGCCGAATCAAGAACCAAATCGTTCAGCAGGGAGCCTACCTGCGCCTGTGTGAAGAGGACGCGCCGCTTCCGCCGCTGGCTGAGCGGGAACTGCATGGGCTTGGTGTCGGTGCAGGCGCCGAAGGACGCCATGTTGGACATGTTGACGTTCATGCCGGTCGAGCCCGTCATGAGCCGAGAGACTGCGGAGGGAGACAACAGGGTCAGAGAAGTCAACAAAGTTACGCAGGCAGATACTGTGGGATTTCGGAACATTACATTTTCCCAGTTTTAGTTGCTCCAGCCCCATGGATATATCGGTATCAGCTAATAACTAGCCCTGCCAAAAGCTCAATCAATCTTTGTATGTTTGACAGAGCAATTTTAGATATTTGTTATTCATCGTGAGACTGAGATTACTTTTATTAAACTACGATACTTTTTACAGAATTGCAATAAAAATCTAGATCTTATTGCAATAATGCCTACACATAATGCTGCATTTAATTTATGAATTTATCAATGCCCATGGGCGTCTGTTATTGCATGGTTCATGCCGGGACAGCAGCCCCACACGGTCCAGATCGGATCCCACCGTCCCGCCTGCACTGTCGCGTCGTGCCCTGAACCGTCGAGGGACCGGAGCGCTGGCAGCGAAAACACGCCGTACCGGCCGCCGCGTCACTCTGTAGCGACGGCCGCTGTTTTGCTTGAGAGCGGCTCTGTTTGGACAAGTGATTTGCCGGAATTAAGAGCTTCACAGGATTTATGACTGGATATGGCAGCGCCGCTGCGATGATGACGTCACAGAGACGCTGCGCCCCAGGGTAAACAGGGGACGTTGTGTCACACCGGCAGCGAGCACACTGCACGGGAGGGACGTGCAGACGCGTGGACATCGCCCATGTTAGCCGTCATTGAAATGAGTGGGATAAAGCTGGACTGATCCAAGCTTTCAACCTGCCGTAAATATAAAATATTTTATTTCTTTGATAGTTACCACTTACCAGTCAGCTGAAGGTAAGTAAGCATAGCTAAAAGCCTTTTCCCGTGAACTTTCTTTGAAGAAAGCTGCTACAAAGTACAGCTCATAGCATAATCAACAAAACGATAAGTGTAACTGACCGATCAGCTCCCCATTCACGGTCAGCCATCTTTCACCAACACCCCCGGCTTCGCTCTGCATTCCACCATCAAACTACGCCGTCCTCTACACTCGCTCCTCTCAGTTATCGTCACACCATTCGTGACCTCCCTCCGCATACCGCTCTTATTCTCTGACACGGACACGAGGTCGGCTGGCCGCCACCGACACCGTCCGCAGAACCCCCGAGAGGCGACAGCGGCGGCGGCGGCGGTGGCGGCAGCGGCGGCGGCAGCGGTGGCGGCGGCTCATCACACCGCTAACGAGACGCGATCGTGACCACAGCGGACGGCGCTCAAAGACGAGCCAGCCGAGCGAGAACGGATCGTGCCTCGGTGCCTCAGTGCCTCAATCGAGCCTGGTGGCAGTGTTTGAGATAGAACGAGCGGCACAGACAAGACGCCTCGGTTGCGGCGGCGGTGGTGTTGGCATAGGTGGATGGTTCAATTCGAGCTGCGATGCTGCGGAGGACACGCCGGGCGGCGACGGAGAGGTTGATGAATGGACTGCACAGTATCAGCGAACTGTGGCACGCCGATCGTGGGGAAGGGAGCAGCGGAGAGGGGTGGGTGAGGTGAGAGAGGGGTGCAATGCGGCGCGTGACACCCGCTCGACTTGCAGGAATGCGCAGAATGCGGGTCACTGGGCAGGACGCTCCTCTCTCAATGCTGTGGCCATTCAGACGCACGACAGCGCGCTCTTCACTGAGGCCGATTGGGAAATATTGAACGGTCACTGCCGGCGGCCGGCGTCATCCTCGTTTCATATGCAGGGATCGAACGGAGGCTTTATGTCGTGTCCAGGCCCGTGATGGCGAATATACGGCGGGCTGCTTACTGGGCGTGGCAGGAGAGGTGGAGGTGATATCGCCACTGCTGATCTAGTGCTGGTCGGTCGATTATTGTTAGAGTTATTTCACAGTGTTACTCTGCTAATCAATCGATTCAAAGTACGAGATAACAAGGGGATCTATGTAAAATAAGCCGAATGAATCACCTGTAGCTGAAAGTTAAGTAATATTTCACCCTTACGTCGTTCGAATATCCACCAAATACAAAAGTGGGGGAAAGTGGGGTAAGACGGGCACCTTAACTTTGGAGCCATTTTTCGGCCGGTTAGAAACATCATAGAAACGGGAAACTGACTGAAAACCTTTTTTAGACATTTTACTTCCATTTGCCAGAAGATGAGACTTAGATCTGATTCAACAAATAAACTGCAGCTATTTTTGCAAAACCTTGCAAAAACCCGTCTTACCCCACCCCATGGGGTAAGACGGTCACATGGGTAGGGCAAGACGGCCAGCTTCTTTCACCGATCAGCACAGCTCGCAACAAATGCCCGAGATTACCCGCATTGATACAGTCGCTCGTTGGTCTCAAGTGCTTCGGAAATGGCAGTATAAGACATTCGTAAGACATGTCAAGGCGAATGCTCGTATATAGGCCCTAGTTCAGAAGCCATGTAGAACCGTTTTCACATTCATTATTCGAAAATAAACTGTGCCGAAGGAATATTGCTAGCATGTCTTTGAATATCGGAATCGAACATATTCTTGTTAGAAATGCTTCTTTTTTTCCTACAGCAACAAAAATATTTTCACCATTACAGACCCATTGGATTCATAGTTGCCCGTCTTACCCCAAACTCAATGTCAGAAGTTCAGCACGATTTTTCTCTGTGGACAATTTGATGCAGACAAAGCAAATCCGCGGTAAATGATCACTAGTGGCATATGAGTGTACCACAAGTGGTTGCGAGTTTTTAACTCTATAGTGCTACACACAAAAGCTTGCACAATACATTATGGATGTTTTCAATGAAATGAGTGTTTTAAAGAAATAAAAATAAAAGATTATCGACTGAACACAAATTCACCAGACTTCAATGGTGGTGTGTAGTGGGAAAGGCAATTCTGGTCCTAATTTTTCTCGTTCGTAGCGCTATTGGTTTGGTCTGCAGAAGGGGTGCCCGTCTTACCTACCCTGACCGTCTTATCCCACTTTCCCTGCCTTAGTAATAGCCGGGTCTAGACATCTGATATTCCTCCAGAATCCACCCCGTCCGTCTAGTCTAACGTTCCCCGTCCCCGCCGTATCACCCGAGTGAACTACTCATCCTGTCCCGTCTTTGCCGAGCTATCAGCCTAACAAAAGAAAGCCATTCGTCGGCGACGTCATCATTGCCGGCCGAGTCGTCTCCCAATATTGCTCCACGCGCGCCTCTTATTTGCTCTGTCCAAACACGGGACCGTATACCCCGTCCGTCCCGGCCCGCCCTCGCCCCTCCCTCCCCCTCCCTCCGTTCCGTGCGGAACTCGGCCCGTGCGGTCAGCCAGGCCAGGACGGGGTGGGGAAGCAGAGCGGGCCCAGTTTTCTTAGCGCCCGCAGCTATCGACCGGCCGGCGATTACCGAAACGTTCCCCGTCCGCGGAGGTGCTCGACGCTAACGACGTAAATAGACATGGCCACCGCCGCCGCCGCCGCCGCCGCCGCCGCCGCCGCCGTCACCGCAGACCAGTGTTCGCCACGGGCCCCAAAATCCCCAGCCCAGCCCGGCCCGGGCCCATGGGTTCAGAGCCCGGCCCAGCCCGTAGCCCGCTCTTGGCAAATATTCCAAGCCCAGCCCGGCCCGGCCCGTCAAAAATAGCAATCTAGTTATTGTCTTAGTCTATTGCTATAACCAGTATAGCGCCTTTTGGGGCGACTAACGGAGCGAGCGAGGGGGTGAGTCTTGCACGTGCGAAATTTCGAGGGGGTACCTCCAACTGACTTGTGCACGGCACCCTACTGACCGGTTTCTAGCAATGTGCCAAATTTGAGCACAATCGGCCCAGCCGTTCTCGAGATCTGGGAGCGGCACCCTGCACGTGCGCACGTGCAAAATGGGTCCCAACTGACTTGTGCACGGCACCCTACTAACTGGTCCCTAACTGTGTACCAAATTTGAGCGCCATCGGTCCAGCCGTTCTCGAGATCTGGAAACGACCCCTGCACGTGCGCACGTGCAGCAGCACCCCAACTCTGGCACATGGATATGCAGTGCCTAGTGGGTGCCTACCTACATGCCAACTTTCAGCGCAATCGGCCAAGTAGTTACCGAGATATTGCAACAATTACAAAAGTGACACCTCTTCGTTTTGCACGTGGCACGTGCATAAGGGGTCACCCACATGCATCGGGAATAGTCCAATACTTGGTAGAAGGAATGAAGCTACCCTACAAAAATTACCGCATGTAAATCGGTCAAGTGGTTGCTGAGATATAAGCCTTGCAAAAGCGTCCGCACGGCCGGCCGGCCGGCCGGCCGGCCGCTCATACTCAGAAATTTCCGTTATTCTACGTAAGACTCCGCTCGCTTCGCTCGCTCCGTAATAAGCATGATTGATTACACTATTTTGAGAACAATTCAGTCGGGGGAGGTTTGGTCAATCGTTGTCATTTTTAGCACGTGCTATTTTTGTCACACGTGCTAAAAATGACAACGATTCTGCTATTTTTGACAACGATGAGGCCGATTTCACTCCTCAGCGAGGAAATGAAGATTTTGGAAAGATAAACACTGATTTTGGAAAAGAAGTGCTGCCACCTGAATTCAAATTGCATGAATATTAACATGGCAATCATGACTCCCTTCTTTTCAATGAATATAATCATTTCAAGCACCTATGGCACAAATTTTAACAGTAACAGCAAGCACCTCAGTCAATTAGGTCATGATTACACACCTATAAAAAGTTTACATGATTATATTAACTACATTCTATGAGTAAAGTTATCTTGCAAGCTAATGTGTGTGAACATTATCATTCATAATTGGTGACTCTAATGCATACTTGAAGGAAGTATTTGCCACATACTCTATACTTCCCAGCACTTACCAGCAGAAAAAAAGCTTGACTTATGGGAATTGATGAATCTGTCTGGGATTGACCTTGCTGTTAAATTCACTCCATAGATGCTGCAATATCAAAAGCCTGAGAAAGCATACAAAATAGGTGACACTAACTTTAGCACTGTCTTCCCAAAAAAGAGAAAATCCATCCGATTATCAGCAAAACTGATCTTATCTATTTTCAATTCATGCCCACGTGTCAACCGAATCTCTGTGGACAACTATCTGCTACTTTCCTTGCTATTTTATGTTCGGCTCTTTTCAAGATATGGATATCGCTAGCAGCGTAAGCAGAAAACATGGTGAGCTTGAAATGTCATTGGATACTTTTGCGACTTTTACGCATCATCATCATCAATCGAAAATGAGAGAACACTTCTTGATTGTCGCAGCTGCGGCAGGTAGCGATTCTGACCAATTGTATAATAAAACATATAGGTATGATCAAGTTTTTGTTTTGTTTTTCGTTCGAGTTTTCAGACTTCGTGATTTAGGTTTTATTTTTTATTTGTTTAACTTTGTTTTCACCTTGATACTTACTTAAACAACATATTTATTTGATATACTGTTGTGTATACTACCTAGATGCCGCCACATAAACATAGCGCCGCCGCCATGATTGCAAACTTTGTTGAGAAGCCGAAGGGGCTGGTTTGTGTTGTGATTTATTTTGACAAATTTATGGACATTTAAAGAAGCTTTCATCGCGAAATACTCTGTAGAGTTCCTCGTTACTTACAGTGTGTTTTGTGAGTATCCTTTTAAGGTTCTGTTCGTTAAAATGCCGTCGGTGAAGGAAAAAAGACTGTGTTGGAATTGTCTCACTATCGCCATATATAAGTGTTAAACTTAATGTAGCCCTGTAGCCCACCATTGTTGAGTGGCTTCTTAGTTTTTGGAGTTGCAGTGCTAAGTAAGTTATTCTGATGACTACATTTTAACTTTTATTACAAACTAATGATGCTAGAGATTCTCTGATCTTTTTGGTTGCGGAATTTTTATGAAAACCCTCCTATGTGTGACATGATGTGATATTGGATAATTCTCAAGATTCCCAAAATTCAATATAAAGTAGGTTTTCTTTCACATTGCTTAAATTTGGTTTGGTTTTTGTATTTTCCCAGTGGGTTTTGTTTGCATCAGTTTCCAAATTTTCTTAAATTGACATTAATCGCAAAACCCATAGTGCACAAAGCTCTTGGCCCGGCCCGTCCATAGCCCGTTAACTAATGATATTTGGGGGCCCGGCCCAGCCCGTAGCCCAGCCCGGCCCATGGCCCGTTGGGCTGGCCCGGCCCGTGGCGAACACTGCCGCAGACCGATCGACTGCCGGCCGTATAGGCTGGGAGAGTGTGACGGATAGCTGACTGCTGGTCAGTGTCTACCGGGAAATGATGGATGGCTTGGAAGTTGGGTATTACAAACGACTGGAAATGACGGCCGACCGAACGTCATGCATGGTGCGAAGAAGAGCACAAGTTTTACTCTGGTCGTCTGTGTCAATTAATCAATATATCATTTCGGTGTATCTGGCACTTTGTTGCAATTTTCATTTCAGTATCGCGTTGCAGGGTCTGGTTAAAGTTTTGCTATGACCTGACAGGGGCAAAGCGGCCACCCGGTATTTTAGCCATTCACAATTGGTGTTAACTCCAGTTATTGGTTGCCAATTATCGTTCTCTTCACGGTCGTTTGAATGAGCCACACCGGAGTTTCAGGTCCGTCGCCATTGTTCTGTGATAAACTGAAAAGTATGTTTCCAAAGTGTCTTACTATTTTTACGATTTATAAATGCTATTTTACTCCATAACCGTTTGTAATTTTATTTAAGCGTTCTTGTTTATGCATTGTATGGTTATCGTACCAGTCTTCTATACCAATCGTAATCTTTTTGACCCGCTAATGGCTGAGCTGGAATGTTTTTGTCTCGGACGGTACGCGCGGGACAAAATCGACGGGGCAAAGTGGCAGACCCCCATTGGCCTTTTCGTGCATGAGGCAACTATCCTGTTTCTCATATCCGGGCAAGGAAGTCATAGATGTTTACTTTGCCCCGGGGGTTGGGGCAAAGTGGCCAACATGCATAGGTGTAAGTTTTGCCAAGTTGTCCTATACAACTTGGCAAAGCAAAAAAAAAAATGTATGTCAACGTCCTTAGAAATGAAACGAAGTTGAAATGAAGGACAATTTAATAGGAATCATGTTAACATAAAAAGAATCATTCTCATTTTGAAAATGAAGCGTCGGCATAGAAACAAACAATAGGGTGGCCGTTTCGCCCCGAGCTCCCCTACTGAAGATCGCCGAGGTCAGCTGTCATTCATCTCAATGAAAATAAACAAAACTAAAAATTTTGCTCAGCATTTATATGCACAGAGTAACAACGAGAAAAAACTTTGTGGATGAGAAATTAGACATATACAATATACATGAGAAATGTATGCCTACATACCAGATACACTCCCCATCTAAGTCATTAGATCGTCGTTGTGCCATACATCTAGGAGTGAACTTCTAGTGCAAAAATAACTGGACTTTTGTATCTTAATATCAGAACGTTTCATAAAATACCTATGGCAAAATGAAGATGAAAAAATTAAAGGCGAAATAAACGGGTAGTTTTTATCCGTTGCAAACACCTTAAAACTTTCTGATTTTAGGCGCATTTTGTCTAAATGGGACGGTTAATTCCATTGATTGCAGTATAAAACGTCGTGTTGGTAATTCACCTCTGGCCATTCGGGTACACTGCCGGATCTAAGAGGAAAGGGCATTTGGGGCATCTGCTCCCATCCGGAACGTCCGAGAATGATACACATACAGTCTTTTGTGGTTTTCCTCACAGAGAAAGAAAATCAATGAAAAGTTTGCTGTTAACTGCACAACAAAGCAAAAGCAAAGCGATATTGAAAATTGAAGAACGTTTTCGCGCATAATGTTCCACGCAGCGTTCAACACCACCTTTCTGGGCCCGCCACAGTTCAATAAATTCATATTTACTCCACAGGGCCTCAGCCGAATTAAAAATTGCCATATTTACTGTGACCAATCCACCTTGTTTCTCACGCCGGCATTGCCCTTCCTGTTACTCTGGGAGGTATCCAGTACAGAAATCACTGAGCTAGTTCTATCGGAAAATCCACCTTTTGGCATGTATAATGTGTATCGTGCAGTTTAGGAACATTATTGCTCAGGTATACGAGGTGCGGCACCAATACCTAATACCCAACGTCATGCATTATCTATGTTCATTGTTAAATGTTTGATCTTATTCGAAATTCGAATCCCCAGCTCGATGAGGTCGGTTCCGGTCCCTTTTTAGCGCTTCGTATGTGTCATGCAGCATATCAGACCTCAAACCTTACAGCAGTGGTGCATTCGGCCCATTCCTTGCTTCACATCAATTTTAGCTCTTGATGCGACTATCCAGTTGATACTTATCACCGAATCTAACCGTTCCCCACTAAAACATGGACCGCACCTCTCTCCGTCGTAGGTCGTCTGTAAATATGTAATTTGTATCTACTTACCTGACTCACCAGCATTTGGTGACCTGTTACCTGGCCCAGCTGGCACTAACATGACCACCTGTGTCTTACACACCAGTGTCTGAATTAGAAAGTCTATCCTATTAGTGCCTAGCCCATTGGCCTAACCAGCCAGTGACTGACTCGCCGGTCTGTGTGCCCCGAAATGTCGTACTCTGGACCTGTCACCGTACCCCATCGCCGTACTCTGGATCCGCCACGGTACCCCGTCTTTGTACTCACTGGCGAAGCGCGGGTCTGTGGGCGTGCTGTACCATCCCGCCGATGTGTTCCGCACGTCCGTATAGTGGCCAAAGTCGCCGGCGTTGCAGTACTGGGTCTGGAACGCCGCCGCCGGCGCCGACAGCTGCGGCACGTGCATGTGCGCGTACGGGTTGGTCATGTTCTGCTGAGTGCCGCGGTAGACGGGCGATCCGGCCAGGGGCACCAGGCCCGGCTCCAGGGCGGCCGACTTGCGGTACACCTCGTCGTACGGGTACAGGATGTCCGAAACGGAGAACGGCGTCGGCTTGGGACTCAGGGTCATGTCATTGGGGTCGGCCGGGTCCGCGTCGCCGGGCTCGCCGGGCTCGCCGGGCGCGCCCAGCAGCGGAAAGCTGAGAGGATCCACTCTGGGCCACCGGGAGCGGTTCTTGAGACAAGCTGGAGGCCACTCGCTGCTCCTTGCAGACGCGTCACACCGCACGACGATTTTTTCCGCGGCTTCAGGTCCTCCACGGTACAAGCAAAACACACCGAGAGCTCGAAGTGCTCTTCACTGGCTCCTCTCTCGAGAACAATCCAAATCTATCACAATTTTTCGGTAATTTGGATGGTCGTTCACTGGCTCTCCGACGACGATTAGGGGCGGGCGCTCGCCGGCGGCCGCCAATCAGCACACGCCGCCCGCAGCCCCTCGCGGCGATTGGTCGAGCGTCATTGATTACGTCGCCGACTCCGCCCCGCACTGGGGGAGGGGCCTGTGGCCGGCTGCCCTTTGTACGCGCTGAATCGCGCCCGTCCTATTCATTGAGTTTCTTGCGAGTTCCTCTGCAAATGCTGATTACGCGCACAATGGCCGGAATTAATGACGCGACGATTGACGGCGGCACGGCGGCACGGCGGCGGCGGCGGCGGCGGCGGATGGCTGCCCGATTCGAAATGAGCCTCTCCGAAGCGAGCGCCCCCTCGACCGATGCGCACCCCGTCACGAATCAATCGGTCTGTCGCGGACAGCGTCACGCCCATGCACAGCTCAGGCCCCGCGGCACCGGTCTGGCGGTGCCGCGTCACCGTCGAACCCCGACCTGCGGGCGTCCCGTCGCCACCGCCGCCCTCCCCTCCCCCTCCGACGGCAACGTCGGCACCGACATCGGCGGCGTCGGAGCGCGCGAGGGCCTGCGCGGAGGGTCCTCCAGTTTGGAGGGCGACCGGACTGGATGGCCCTCCAGCCTCAGAGCGCCCTCCTCCGCAGTCAACGAGACTCAGGGGCCATCCAGGCCCGGCGGGCGCCGATTCTGAATGATGCTCTTGGCGGCGGCGGCGGCGGCCGGCTGCATGCTGCCGATGCGGGGCTCAGTTGGGCGCCGGAGCTGCTGTCGCCGCCGTCCCGCTCGCCGTCTCCCCCGGGCGCCGCTGACCCCCTCTGACCCCCGTGGACCCCCGCTGGGTCACATCGGCGGAGTGAGTCGTATGTAGTAGAGTGAGGGTTAAAAACGCCCAACATGGCCTGTCGGACGGCCGGTGCACAGCGGGGCCCAATATGGGTTCAGTGAAGAGTGAAGGCCCCGTTTGGGCCCCAGGTCACGGTGGCAGCCCTACGGGGGTGACAGCCGAGCCTGAGGGTTCCCCGGTGTGCGGAAGGGGGTCGACTGATCTGTGGTTACAGTCGGTGGTGAGAGGGTGGGGTGCGTGCGCGACAATGGTGTCAGAAGACCAGGACAGCATGGCGGGGAGCAGCGGCGGCGGCAGCAGCTGTAACAACATCACCGGCGGCAGCAGGAGCGGCGGCTGGGACATACATAGGCAGCGGTGGCGGCAGCGATGGCGGCGGCGGCGGCCGGGACGGGAACTCCAGCAGCGGTCAACCGTCCACCGGTCAACGGCCATGCAGCCCAGCTCAGGACCGGAGCGGTGACTCGGGTAGAAAAAGTTACGCTGCAAGCTGTTGCTCAATGAGCTTCTCTGTTCATGGATAGCAGAGAGATGCTGTGGTAAGCCCTGAACAGAAAACGTCCGTAAGATCATCCATAAGATCGTCCATAAGATCAACACTGGCTGGATGGAGATTCGGTTATTAGTTTTGTTAGGTAGCTAGGCCGTTACCGGTTACGTTGCTAGGCTTTTGGGTAAAAGCGTTTACCTTTCGGCTATAAAATCAAGCTTAAGCAATAGAAGCATCGAAATAAATAAATTGGATTATGAAAGCAGGGAATATCTTACTGTTACCCTAATTTGCATATTACCAACATGTCTCATTCAATCCCCGCTTGCGTTAGGTCTTGATTTAATATGTAACTCCATTGTATTTTTTAAGCACTACGATGCGTCCAACTTTGAAACTGTTTACACTGCGCTAATTTCAAACGCTAAAACGTTTCCCAAACCAACGGTTAAAATCCTTGGCAATAATAATCACTTTCCGCCTCAAACACGCTAGTTAAAGCATTAGGAACCAAAATGGTCCGCCCACTCACCCAGAAAATAACACAACAAGCGGGGCGTTTTACTCATCGGAGCCGGATTTTGCGGCGTCTCGGCGGGGCGCACTATTAGGAGCAGGCGTTCCGGCGATACGGTAAAACCGGCCGCGCTCGCCGCTCGAGTCGGTACGCCGCGCTCCTGCCGTCGGGGACAAATTCTGGCGATAAATAGGTGAGGTGTGGTGAGTCCGACAACACCATGCTTAAAATAATTCACATCATCTTTTTCATAATTCTGGGGATGTGTTAAGTTTTGATGGCGATCATTTTAAAGCAAGCATCTTTTAGAACGTCTAAAATGCAAGTTTCGATGCAGTGCATTCAATGATCTGTCAAATTGCCGAGCCGTTGATTTTGGTACAGTTTGATCTCCAGCAGACATATTGGACTGCACCCAATCACGATGTTACAGCTTTTATTTTCGTTACTCATATGCATATTCTGGATATTTGGATATTTAGGTTAAGTCTGCGTCTAAGGTCTGTGTATACATAGGTCTGCGTTTAACGTTCGGCTTTATTGCTCTCCTGACTCCCGCCCTAAAAACGTTAAACGTTTAAAATCTGAAAGCTCGTAGTTGGTGTATCTTAGGTATCTGGCTCTTTATTGTTAGTTTATTTTATGCTTACAAAAACTCACAATCTATAATTCTTGCGCAACTGTGTGCGCTCAGGCCGCTCAGCATCATGTTGGCCATCTGATAATGGTGTCAGACCGCTCAAAAGTCATATCGCCCTCCAAAATCACGTCATTTTTGTGCTAACGTCTGCAAAGTTTCCGATTTATCTCCTGCGTTTTGCTGTTCATGGAAACAGCGCAAAAGTTAAAAGCGGGGAAGGTGAATTTCCAAGACTCATTTAACATATAATGGCCATGGGTTAAATTATCCATGAAATCTGGTAAAGATTGAGCAATGCACTTAATTTCAGGTTCATAAATAGCTACCAATTACCATCGATATAAATCTCTCTCGCGCAATGTCCAAAGTCCTTACCCATGATAGAATCACCTAGCACTACATGGTCGGTCCGTTCAATGCTGGCCTTGTTCAATGCTATCCTGCGCCTATTTCTACACCACCAACAGTTCTTGCTTTAGTTTCCTATCCAAATGACGGGAACGATCTTAGATCAGGATTCACCTTCATGGAGGGAAAGACTTAGTTTCTTCTCGCAATGAATCTCTAGCGTTAAAACTTCCCCACCAGCAGTAAGCAAAAGCACCTATAGGTACGGGAAAACCGGCAGCCCCTGAGTGCTGCGAGCGGCGGTGGGGCCTCAAACGGCGAATCGCCGTCGGCACCACTAAAGCGCAGATGAACGCATTTAACTCATTTACCAATGTCGACTAGTAGGTACCCATCAGTTTGTTTAGGGAGTATTGCATAGATTTCGTTTGAAGCCTCAAAACACATTGCTGATCTCCGTCAGTCACTTAAGTAGGTACTTATTTCGGGTGAACTTCAAATTATCATGTGTGGAGTTCGCAATTCATACTCCACCACCTCACATTTCATAGATCACCAGCTTGCATTTCATAGCTCCCGGCTCACCAGTTCAAAAATGCAAAAAGTAAAAACAAGTGTTAAATTTTCACTTTAATGAAAAACAAAATGAGCAATATACAAGTGTTAAATTTGTGCAAAACCAGTCCTTTTTGCCGTTTTAACCATCGAACTTATGGATGGTCGGATAGATCTATCAACTCGTTTTTATGTTTGCTTGGCGCATAACTCGGAAACCAACTCATAGAGCTACAGTGCCCCGGAAAGGCGCATTTGATAGCCCTATTGACGCTCTTTCTGATTATTTCTCTCAGATTTGACCTAAGGTGAATGCTTATGCCTACAGGTAACAGGGGGCACACACTGCCAAATTAGACGATTTCTGCGGAATGGTTTTTCTGCAATAGCTTTTTACTCAAACCTTGCACGAGCTAACTTTCACCGGCATCGTGCTTCTCTCGCCAAGACGTGTCGAATGAACTATAGGTACTTGGACCTTGAAAGGTCTTTTGATCTCAATTTGATTTGATTTGATTTGATCTCAGGTCAAGGTCATGACCTAGCCGAAAACATTGTGTAGCACAACAGCCGATCTGTATCATCAAGATGAACACAGCTAACGCGTTTTCACCTAGCATGCCTCGATCAAAAGTTATTAGCGAAAAACGGTTGCATATCTTTCGTGACCTTGATGACCTCAGGGACTTAACCAGGTTTCACGGGTGCCATTTTCCGGTTCAGTATGTCATGTTTACTTGTACCTTGGTGTTTAAAAGTGTCTAGAATGACGTTCGCCCAGAAGAGGCGCCTTTCAATTTTCTCCCCTTGACTTATCATAGAGAAGTCACAAAAGTGACCGGACCTTAGGTCACAGATATCAAGATTCTACGATATTCATTTTGTACATAATGTTGCTTTTACCAATCGCTGAAAGTTTCAAAACGATCCGTCACTCGGTGTAGGCATTGGCAGGCATTGACACTTTTTATGATGAGGTCACTTGACGTGACCTGGTGACCTGACCAGTGACCATGTGGAGACCTTGGTCTGAATTTTTCACAACATGTGAAGAAAGGATTATAATGAGGTGTGCCAAAGATAGCGACCGCCTTTTTAAAGATATTCGTGAAAACCATAGGGGCGTATTCAAACCCCCCCCCCCCCCTCCCCAGCAGGGCAAGGGTCAAGTAAATAGGTATGTACCTGCAGACTGCAGAAAAGTGTAAGTGGCACGATCGGTCCCTTTGCTCCGGAACGCCGATGCAATTTTGAGAAACGGACTCGCTCGTGATGTGCACGACTTGCTTATACTTATGGCTATTGCAATTTAAAAGTGGGATATTCGAAAGCTTATTGGAATTTTGGAAGAAATATTTTTGCATCTCAAAACAACCTCAACACCATAGTTTTGTATAAAAACCTAGTTTCAGTTGCTCAAAGGCGGTGAGCCCGGCGTTGGATAGATCGTGTGGTGGGTCCGTGGCGTCATTCATAGCAAGCGCTGCTTAGCCGGGCAGCCGGGCCCACAGCCACCCATTCATCCATTTGGACATTTTTACAGGATTTTTTAAGTGCAGGGAAAATATTGTTAAATTCATCCTCTGAATAAATAAGCATTTATGAGAGCAGCCAGGTATGATCGCAATCTGAAATCTGAATCACAAAAACCACGTCATACCACGTAACGTTATACACACCATAAAACGATTGCATTACGATCGAGATGCACGGCGTTAGGTACGTAGTCAGTAGATTGCAATTTTTGGCATATATTTTTTCACTTCCGCGACATGGTGATGTTCATTAAATTCATTCGTCGGGTTAGAGGAAAACTACGTAGGTATGGATTTAAGCTGAGGCGCTCCGATGCTTCGAGCCGTATAGTTCAAGCGCTTAACAATTTTTATGAAGATCCGAGTGATTTTGGGACGTATATTAGGTACCTATTGAAATAAT